AGGTTCACGTACTACTAAAGCCTTACTTGGAGAACTTTGAGCGTGAGATGAGTGCAACTGCGGAGTAGTTTGAACATTCTTTGGCATTGCCTTTCTTTGGGACTGGAATGAAAACTGACCTTTTCCAGTCCTGTGGCCACTGCTGAGTTTTCCAAAGTTGCTGGTATATTGAGTGCAGCACTTTCACAGCATCATCTTTTAGGGTTTGAAATAGCTCAACTGGAATTCCATCACCTCCACTAACTTTGTTTGTAGTGATGCTTCCTAAGGCCCATTTGACTTCGCATTCCAGGAGGTCTGGCTCTAGGTGAGTGATCACACCATTGTGATTATCTGGGTCGTGAAAGTCTTTTTTGTACAATTCTTCTGTGTATTCTTGCCACCTCTTCTTAATATCTTCTGCTTCTGTTAGGTCATACCATTTCTTTCCTTTTTGGTGCTCATCTTTGCATGAAATGTTCCCTTGGTATCTCTAAGTTTCTTGAAGGTATCTCTAGTCTTTCTCATTCTATTTTTTCCTCTACTTCTTTACACTGATCACTTAGGAAGGTTTTCTTATCTGTCCTTGCTATTTTTTGGAACTCTGCATTCAAATGGGTATATCTTTCCTTTTTTCTTTGCCTTTTACTTTTCTTCTTTTCTCAGCTATTTGTAAGGCCTCCTCAGACAACCATTTTGCCTTTTCAACTTCTTTTTCTTGGGCATGGTTTTGATCACAGCCTCCTGTACAATATTACAAACCTCCATCCATAGTTCTTTAGGCACTCTGTCTATCAGATCTAATCCCTTAAATCTATCTGTCACTTCCACTGTATAATCATAAGGGATTTGATTTAGGTCATACCTGAATGGTCTAGTGGTTTCCCCTACTTTCTTCAACTCAAATCTGAATTTGCAATAAGGAGTTCATGATCTGAGCCACAGTCAGCTCCTGGTCTTGTTTTTTGTTGGCTGTATAGAACTTCTCCATCTTCAGCTGCAAAGAACATAATCAATTGGATTTCAGTATTGACCATCTGGTGGTGTCCATGTGTCGAGTCTTCTCTTGTGTTGTTGGAAGAGGGTGTTTGCTCTGACCAGTGTGTTCTCTTGGCAAAGCTCTCTTAGCCTTTGCCTGGCTTCATTTTGTACTCCAAGGCCAAACTTGCCTGTTACTCCACGTATCTCTTGACTTCCTACTTTTGCATTCCAATCCCCTATGATGAAAAGGACATTTTTTTTTGGGGGTGTTAGTTTTAGAAGGTCTTGTAGGTCTTCATAGAACTGTTCAACTTCAGGTTCTTCAGCATTAGTGGTTGGGGCATAGACTTGGTTCACTGTGATATTGAATGATTTGCCTTGGAAACAAACAGAGATCATTCTGTCATGTTTGAGACTGCACCGAAGTGCTGCATTTTGGACTCTTTTGTTGACTATGAGGGCTACTCCATTTCTTCTAAGGGATTCTTGCCCACAGTAGTAGATACAATGGTCATCTGAATTCAATTCACCCATTCCAGTCCATTTTAGTTCACTGATTCCTAAAATGTTGATGTTCATTTTTGCCATCTCCTGCTTGACTATGTTCAATTTACCTTGACTCATGGACCTAACATTTTAGGTTCCTATGCAATATTGTTCTTTACAGAATCAGACTTTACTTCCATCACCAGTCACATCCACAAATGGGCGCTGTTTTCACTTTGGCTCAGCCTCTTCATTCCTTTTGGAGCTATTTCTCCACTCTTCTCAAGTAGCATTGTGCACCTACCAACCTGGGGAGTTCATCTTTCAGGGTCATACCATTTTTGCCTTTTCATACTGTTTATGGAGTTCTCCAGGTAAGAACACTGAAGTGGTTTGCCATTCCCTTCTCCAGTGGACTACATTTTGTCAGAACTCTCCACCATGACCCATCCATCTTGAGTGACCCTACATGGCATGGCTCATAGTTTCATTGAATAGGACAAGGCTGTGATCCATGTGATCAGTTTGGTTAGTTTTCTGTGATTGTGGTTTTCGTTCTGTCTGCCTTCTGAAATGTTGAGAATAAGAGGCTTGTGGAAGCTTCCTGATGCGAGGGACTGGCTGTGGGGGAATCTGGTCTTGCTCTGATGTGCTAAGTCACTTCAGGCATGTCCGACTCTTTGTGATCCTTGAACTGTAGCCTGCCAGACTAATCTGTCCATGGGATTCTCCAGGCAAGAATACTGGAGTGGGTTGCCGTGCCCTCTTCCAGCGGATCTTCCCGACCCAGGGATTGAACCCTTGTCTCTTATATCTCCTGCATTGACAGGTGGTTCTTTACCACTAGCGCCACCTGGGAAGCCCAGCTCTGATAGGCAGGGCCATACTCAGTAAATCTTTAATCCAATTTTCTGTTGATGGGTAGGGCTGTGTTTCCTCCCTGTAGTTCCTTCCCTGAGGCCAAACTATAGTAGGGGTAATGGCTACCTCCTTCAAAAGGACTTATGCCAGCATACCCCGAGCTCTCAGAACTGTTGTATTCAGTGCCCTTAACCCCATGGCAGGTCACTGTCAATCCATGCCCTTAGCCAGAGACTCCTGAATGCTCACAGGCAAGTGTGACTCAACATCATTAGTCATTAGTAAAATACAAATTAAAATCATAGTGAGATACCGCTCTCAACCTACTAGTGTAAGTAAGTGTTAGTCGCTCAGTCGTGCCTGACTCTTTGTGACCCCATGCACTGCAGCCCACGAGGCTCCTCTGTTCATGAGATTTTCCAGGCAAGGATACTAGAGTGGGTTGCCATTTCCTTTTCCAGGGGATCTTCCCAACCCAGGGATTGAACCCAGGTCTCCTGCACTGCAGGCAGATTCTTTACCGACTGAGCTACAAGGGAAGCACCCCCCCCCAAAAAAAATAATAATAATGATCCTTCCGCAGGTAGGATCATTCCGCAGATCCTTCCTCTCAACCTACTAGGACAGCTAAAATAAAAAAGATTGATATCAGGGATGTAAAGCAATTAAAATCCTCATGCTTTGCTGGCAGGAAAGCAAAAGAATATAATCACTTTGGAAAACAGTTTGACAAATTCTCAGAAAGTGAAGCATACATCCTCTACACAAATGTTTATATTGGCTTTATTTATAATAGCTAAAAACTGGAATTAACCCTTTTGACTTTTTTTTAACCCTTTTGACTGCTGAATAGATAAACAACATAAAATGTTATGCCTGTATAATGAAATACTATTCAGCAATAAAAAGGAAGAAACAACTGCTACACATATGCTTGAATCTCAAATGCATTATACCAAACAAAAGAGGCAGACTCAAAAGGCTACGATATGATCCATTTATATGACATTCTGCAAACACTACAGGGACAGTGGTTGTTGAGGCCTGGGAGTCAAGGTGGGAGTTAACTGCAAAGAAGCATGAAGGAATATTTGGAGGTGATGATGGAAATATTCTATTGATTGTTATGAGAGTTGCACAAAGGTGTTATCAAAACTCATACAACTATACTAATAAGCAATTTTTACTGTATATAAATTAAACTTCAGTGAATTTTTAATAAAATTGTGATAGCTCCAAACAATTATATATTATGCAATCATCTAAAATATAAGATGAATCCATATATGCTGATAATAGGATAATCTCTAAGATATATTGTTAGGCATAAAAAGCAAGACACAGGACAATAAATACAGTCTGTTCCTTTTTATGGTATATTGGCTGTCTCCGGGGTCTGGAGTGGAAGTATATACTCTTTTGTACTGTAGAGTTCTTTTCCCCATGTGCTTGTATTACTTTCAATTATAAAATCCACATACAGGTCAAGGAAAACTCACAGGTGTCTGGCTCAGGGGCCTGAGCCATGTAGGTCTGAGAAAACCCATGTAAGAATATGGAACATACTGCCAGACCCTGAAAAAGTGCTCAGTAAATAGCTGGGGGAAGCAAAATACTGGAATCAAGTCAGAAGGCAGAGCCTGGACGAAGATCTCTATCTGAACACCAGATATTCAGCCAGCAGAGCCCCCATTTTATACAAGGAGCTAAGCTTGAATGGCTTACGTTAGGAAAGAAAGGGTCCGTAAAATCCAAATATTCCGGATCTGCTGTTGGGCAAGCTGTTTGTCAGCATTCCTGTGCAAGGACACTGTGTGCCCTAACCTCAGCCTCTAAGGGATGGGGTGCATAGCCTTCCCCTAGTGAGCAGAGCCCACTCCAAGAGGCCACCCCAAGGGTTCCTCTGGTGGTCTGAGTGCTACATCTTGACTCCCAGAGGTCCTGAGCAGCCCCTCCTACAACCCCTCGAGTCAGATACTCCTAAAGCTCTCTGAAGGAGTGAAACAACCCCAAGGGTCTCACTGCACTCAGACCGCAGACAAGATGATCACAGCACACTAGGCTCTTTTCCACACCGAGGCTTCAGGAAAGAAAACCCAAAAGGAAAAGGCAGATAAGCAAGCATGGCCTCTTACGGGAATTTGGTGAAAGGATCTCCCAGGGTTTGGCAGGGCTTCTTTCAGCAGCCTGCAATCAAGGAAATCAGGAACTCCAGGATGCCAAATGGACAGAGAGGGAAGGTGCCAAAACAGCCAGCCTCAGAAACTCCTCTGCTTTATTTCCTGCTTTATTTGGACATGCCTCCCCAAAGCCAGGTCCTAGCTTCTAAAAAGGACTATGAGCTTCTGTGCTGCGGAGCAGTGTCTGGCTGCCTCTGGATACCTGGCTTCCTAGGGGGAGCACATAGGTCCTACCTCCTCTTTCTCCTCTGCAGAAACAAGCTGTGCTGGCAGGTACAAGCTTGGAGAGGAGGATGGGGTAAGGTGTAGCCAGGGCCGAGAGTAGGACTGGGGTAGAAGCCAACCAAAAGCAAAGTCCTTTCAGGCACCCACAGACTCAAGGATGCAGGAGAGAAGGCATCACAGACTCTCACTTTCTCAGGAGCACACCACTTGCTACCAGGGGCAGGTGTGTCTGAGTCCTGGGCCATGGACCGGACTAGCCAGGTGATGGGAAGAAACCAGAGCACTTACCGGGGGAAGATGGCAGTCATCAAGGCCGAAGCATAGCCAGGCTTGCAGGTTCCCTCTGAAAAGTTTGCGTACTTGGTGGCTAACTCTGCAGGCCTGTGGGGAGAGAGGGAGAGTCAGCTTGCTGGGCAGTGGTTACTGTTTCATGAAGAGCTGTTGGTGTTTAAACCTTGAATCAAGCTTCGTTTCCTACAATCAGCACTTCAGTCCCTTTTCCACACCAAGTTTCCAGAGGCGGGTGGAGGGGAGGAGCCAGGACATTCTAAAGGAATAAGTAGATAAACAAGCAAGGCCATTCTGTGGAATTTGGTGAAAGGAACTCACTGGATTTCAAATAGATTCTTTGCAGTAAGCCTGGTTGCAAGGAAATCAGGATCTCCATCCAGGCTCCCAGACAGGAGAGTGGAGCCCTGGAGACCTGAGGAGAGAGCTTCCAGGCTTTGATAAAATCACAGGCACAGCCCTTTCAACCTTCTTGAATGTTTCTACACGTCCAGCCTCATCTGCCTTTATTCTGTCACACATACTATGGTCCAGCCAGTGGGAAGTACTCAATGCCCTAAATACATATCATATATATGCCGGGGGGTTTCCTTGAGTATGCCCTCCTGCTATCCTATTCCCTCTGCCTGGAATGTTCTTCCTTGTTCTCCTCCTTCTGCCTCCTGGTCCTTCATAACTCAGCTCAGATGTCAGTTTCACTGGGAGTAACTCCCAGACCCTCAGATTGGGCTAAGTGCCTCCTCTGTGCTTATTGTCCATCCGCCACCACCTACATTACATGCTTGCCCCCATTGGCACTTGTCATACTGAACTACAACTGTTGGTAGAAGGTCTCTGCCATGGCACAGTGAATTCCCAAAGTCAGGGTCTGATTTAACTCTGTACCCCCAGTTCCTTGCACAGAGAATGGGCAGAAGACCCCAATGATTTTCTGAAGGAAATCTCACTGACAGTCTCACTGCACTTGGACTGGAAATAAGGCAATCTCAGGAGTCCACAAGTCAGAGAGCACTGACTATTTTTCAGAAGACTTGTGAGTTCTAGCCCTGGATCTGTTGCTGTGTGACTGTAGTCAAGTCATCTCACCTCTCTGGTCTTCAATATCTGTATGGGTTCAACATGGGGCTGGAGTCACTGCCCTGCCTCCCCAAACCCTGCTCAGTGCAGTCTAGAGAAAACCACAGGGGAAGAACAGGACCCATTCTGTGACTGCCGGGCTGGAGGCCCTGCGTGCTGGGGCACCTGAGGGAGCTCTGGCTGCTGGCCAGGTCCCAGCCCCAGCCTCCCCCGCCTCCACCCTTGGGCCAGCTGCCAGCACACTGATGCCCAGCTGCTCTGTGGTGCCAGGGCCCTGCGGCAAGTCTTCCCCTGGGGCTGCCTTCTGCAGGGACAGGGGTGTGGTGGGTGTGGGGTGGGGGAGGTTGGTGCCTGTACAGGACAGCCAGAAACCATGATGCCACTGCCTAGCGTGTATCATGTGTGATTCACTCAGCCCTGTGATCCTGGCCCAGGGCCTTATAGCAAGGGCCCTGGTAGCAAGTGGTGTGCTCCTGAGAAAGTGAGAGTCTGTGATGCCTTCAGAGCCACGGCTCATTGAATTTAGACAAACTCATCTATATCTACATGCATTTTCTTCTAGAAATCTACATTTTCTTAGTCTTCCCTAACAATGAAATTTAAAGCCTGAGATGCAAATACAAATGCTGAGTGGCAAGTCGGAGTTGGGCCTTTATTTGGCAGGCAAAAAAAAGGTCAAGGATTTAACATGAGAATTTACATAACAGTATTTTCTTATGGAAACAACTGTATTTCAGAAATGAAACATAAACTTCAGTGCAATGACTGAACCTACCGGAAACTTCTGGACTAGGCACAGTGACTGAAATGTTACAGATTTCTTCAATTATTCCTCTCAATAGCCACTTGAGTAGGTGCTGTTATTAATTTACATAGAAGCTCAGAAAGATGAAGAGACTTATTCAAGGTCATACAACTAGTAAGTGGTGGATACTATCTGAACCTATCTTTCTCTGACATGAGTGCAGGAGCTCTTAACAGGACACTGCCCTCGCTGGTGTGGATCCCGATCAGTGCCATCACAGAGTCCGGGGACAGCAGGCGTGGTCAGTGCAGCCGGAGATGGGGTAGAGAAGCTCTCTGGCAGTGTGTAACATTCAGTGAGGCATTAGGAGTTCCTCATAGCCCCCCATCCCCTGGCCTGCCTTTTATTGTGGGTTCCTATGGTCTTTCTGAATTCCAGAAAGTCCCACAACGCAAAGGAAAGATGGATGGCCATTGCCCCTTTAACACAGTGCCTTGCAGAAATGCATGTACAACAACAGCCAAACCTTCGGCCACATCTTTCCTCTCTAATAAACACCATCAACTTCTGGAGAAGTTCCTCAAGGATCAAGGGCTAAGGATATATAGCAACATAGTTGGACCTGGAGAGCATGATGCTAAGTCAAATAAGTCAGACAGAGGAACACAAATCCTGTATGATATCATGTTTATGTGGAATCTAAAAAATACAACAAACTAGGGAATATAACGAAAAACAAGCAGACTCACTCACAAACTAATGGTTACCAGAGAGAAGGGTGCGGATGGGCAAAACAGGGGTGGGGGAGTGGGAGGTACCAACTACAGGGTGTAAGACTGGTTTCAAGGATGTATTGTACAACACAAGGAACATAGCCAATATTTTGTAATAAGCATAAGTGGGAAGTAATCTCTAAAAATTGCATAACAATTTTTAAAAATTAAAAAAAGAGAATTGGGGGTTATGGAATAGTCCAGGGTCTGTGCACTCAGGTAATCCACAATGGAGAAGAAAAAGCCCAGACAAGCAAACATGGGAAGCCAGAAGCCAACAGGAAAGGCTCCTCCCATGGCCATGCAGGGCAGTCAGATATCCCGGATGGAGCAGCTCAAAACCAACTCCCTCACTGAGAAAGCAACAGTAACTTCTAAATTGCACAGCCCTAGGCATAGCGGGCCATGTCAAGTTATTACCAAATTAAAATGCCTTAGAAATGGCCTCCCAACTATCCCAGTGAGAGAAGAATAGGGGGAGTGTTGGGGACTCTGAGTCATGCAGCAGGCTGGGACCTCTAGGGCAGTGAGCGGTCAGAACCACCAAGATTAACTGTCTCCAACTCCCTCGGGGCCAGAATGGTTAGTTTCTCTAAGGCGCTCACACTCCAAATGCCAGGAGGCCCCCACAGATGTCTGATCAAATCATTCAACCCTTGTTCTTGTGCTCTGCAGCTGGCCTTTCATTTGGGGAGATTTTAGCATTTGGACCAGTAAGAGCACCCATTGTCCTGCAAACGTGACTACCAAGCGCCTGGGGTGAAGAGTGTAAACCACTGCGCTCTTCAGAGGAGATCCAGATGGAGAGGTTGGCACCTAAAAGAAGGAACCAGACTTCCATGCCTCTGCTTCACTGAGAAGCACCGAGTTTAAGGAATCAGGTCAAACAACAAATGAGTGGTAAGTGGGAAGAACACAGGACCTGGAATTAGAAACTTTCACAAAGGACATTGCAAGCCGTGTAACCCTGGGCAAAGGAAGGACAATCTGATTCTCAGCTTCTTCTTCTGCAAACGGGAACCACTCAATTCCCAGGGATGTTGGAGGATGTGGTGAGAAAGGACACCTGGAGGGGCTGGCTGGTCTCCAGAGCGCCAAACAAATACTTCATGAAAGGTGAGGCGGCAGAGACAGGCAGCAAGATGGTGCAGGCTTCGAATACTGGGCTCAAGTGTGGATTCTGTCCTGGAGAGAGTCCTAAATGACTTCCAGTGGGAGAGTGCCCTTGATCACCATGTGCATTTTCATGATCAACATTCGGGAGGTGAGGAGGAGCATGGCAAAAGGCTGAAAGAAGCAGCGCCTGAGATGGAAAAATAACCAGGAGAGAGTGTGATGTCTCAGTTGCCAAAGGAAGGAAGGGTCTCAAGGAGGATGCAGGGACCAACAGCATCGAACACTGTGTGGGGCCTGGGAGGAGGTGGCCATAGGATTGATGGCTGGATCTGCCAACACAGGGGTTACTCTTGACCTTGAGTAGAGCTGTTTCACTGGAGTGGGGGTGAAATGCTGATTTCATTGGGTTTAAGAGAAAACAGAATTGGAGCCAGGGAATAATAGACTTCTATTTTTAGAAGTTTTGTTATAAAGGGAGACAAATAAATGGGGCAATAGCTGGAGGGAAAGTGCAGGGAAAGATTTTTTTTGAGGTTAGGAAAATCTTTAGCATGCACATAAGCTGGTTAGAATAAGAGGAAAGCTCATGCATGGGGCAGTAGAGGTGGGACCGTTGGAGAAGTTTTGGAGAAGGTGAGAGGGGGAAAGTAGAAGGGCTGGCTCAGCTCTGTCTACCCTGCCCTGCCCTAGCCAGTGACCACCTGTTTCTCTTGAACATTCAGTTAAGCACCACTTCCTTCGTGAAACCTTTTGTGATAGCTTCCCCTGCCAAGCAGAACCAGCTTCCCAGGCCTGTGGACCTCATTTTACCTAGCACTGGCATTCACCTGACCGTGCTCACCGGTTCCCACATTCTCACTCTCTCTTTCCCACCTCCTGCCCTTCTGTCCTCTCTTTCACTCAATCACTCAGCAGACACTCAGAGGCAACAGAGTCACTCTGCTTGGGCTTATATCCTGGCTCCACCACTCACTAGCTGGGCATGTTATTTAATTGCTCTGTGACTTCATTTCCATATCTTTAAAACTGGAGTTACACTAACTCTTCATAAAATTGTGGTGAGGATTACACTGAGAACAGAGTGCTTAGTGCAATGCCTGGCACATAGTTCTCCATCTCCCTCGGTACATGCTAACTGTAACAGTCTTGCTGTTATGTGCTAGATGCTGGCCTGGGATTAGAGATACAAGGATGTCTAGGAGGGAAATATGGCCTAGCACTTGTTTCCCTGAAGAATCCCTATCCATTTAGACACCTCTCTCTCCCAGACCATGAAATCTGAGCAAAGTGCACATCACAAAGTACCATGCGTGGCACCGAGAGTATGAATGCCCAGCAAAGTGTTTGTTGGACTGAACTCAGCTGGTTACCGTGACTTGGAA